ACAAGTTCCCAAACCTTATTGTCTTGCATAGACTTATACTCTTCATTCATGGCATCAATCCACTGTTGAGAGTTAGAACTTTTCATGGCCTGAGAGAAGTTGATTGGATCATCTTCTAACATTCCACTACTTTCCTCATGTTCTTGGAGAAATACAATATAATCATCCGGAATAGCATTTCTCCTTTCTCTCGTGGATCTCCTTAATGGCACTGGTTCTTGAGGTTGTTGAGTTTGTTCTTCTGGAATAGGGAGTTGTTCAACATTGTCATCTTGAGGTTCCGGATTTACTTCTTGAGCAACAACAGGTATAGGAACCTGAATATTGTCAAAAGTAACTGTATGGATTGGATCTGAAGCCAATTCCTCCTCAAAACTAATGTCTCTAACCTTATTTCTCCCCCCAAACTCAACATCCTCAAAGAATGTTGCTGTTCCCGTATCAAAAATATTCTTTATAGTGGGATCATAAAACTTATAGCCCCTAAAGCGTTCAGAGTATCCAATAAAGTAGCTGCTAACTGTTTTGGAGTCCAATTTCTTTTCATTTGGCCTATAAGGCCTTGCCTCAGCTGGACATCCCCAAATGTGTAAATGCTTTAAACTGGGCTTTTGATCAGTCCAAAGCTCATAAGGTGTTTTAGCAACTGCTTTACTTGGTACTCTATTCAGAATGTAAGCTGCTGTCTTAAGTGCTTCTCCCCAGAGTGACTCTGGTAAAGAAGAATGAGCAATCATACTTCTTACCATATCCTTAAAAGTCCTATTTCGTCTTTCAGCTACACCATTCATGCTAGGTGAACCCGGCATGGTGTACTGTGGGACGATACCGCATTCCTCTAGGTATCTAGCAAATGGTCCTGGACGTTGTTCACCTGAACCATCATATCTACCGTAGTACTCACCACCACGATCAGATCTGACGGTTTTAATTCTTCTGTTGAGTTGATTCTCAACTTCAGCTTTATAGGCTTTGAACATGTCCAGAGACTCAGATTTTTCATGAATAAGATATAGGTGCCCATAACGTGAGTAATCGTCTATGAATGATATAAAATATTATTGACCATTCCAGGATTCCTTAGGGAATGGCCCACAAATATCCGTATGTATCAATTCTAAGACATCCGAAGATCTGTTGGCACCTAATCTTTTCACTTTGGTCTGTTTTCCCTTGATACATTCAACACATACGTCGAAGTCCGAAAAATCAAGGGAATCCAAAATGCCATCAGACACAAGACGCTCAACTCTACCTTTTGAGATATGACCTAAGCGCTTATGCCATAATGTCGCCGAATTTTCCTTATTTAATTTACGCTTAGTACCACGTGATTCCACATGCAAGGATTCATTGTAAGAAGCAATTGTATCAAGCAAATATAGGTTGTCATAAATACTCAAGTAACCGGTTCCCACAACATTTGAATTAAAAGATAAACTGAATTGACTGTTTCCAAATGAACAAGAATAACCTGATTTGTCCAATACAGAAACAGAAACCAAATTCCGTCTAAAAGACGGTACTACAAAAGTATCTTTTAAATCCAAATAATAACCAGTTCCTAACAACAACCTAAAGTGCCCAATTGCTTCCACATCTACCGATTGTCCGTCGCCCACAAAGATGTGTCTTTCAACATCACTTGGCTTTCGGTAGCTCAGGCAACCCTGCATAGAAACACTTATGTGAGTAGTAGCACCAGAGTCTAACCACCAAGTGTTTCTAGGTACTGAAGCTAAATTAACCTCAGAACAGACCAAAGCAAGGAACGTACCCTTATTATCACGCCAGGCGTGATATTTTGTACAGTCCTTCTTTACATGTCCAGGCTTCTTACAGAAGAAACAACCCTGATTATCCTTATGTTGTTTCTTCTCAACTGGACCCTTAGCAGCTTCCTTATCATTCTTCCTTTTCTTGCCCTTATCCTTAGAGGCATAGGCCAAATGAGCACTTTCTGTCTTATCTTGCTTCAACCTGTCTTCTTCTTGCACACAGTATGAAATGAGCTCATTTAGAGTCCATTTCTCCTTTTGACAGTTATAACTGACCTTAAATTGGTTAAACTGTGCAGGAAGAGACAACAAAACCAGATGCACTAATAACTCGTCACAAAGATCGAGTTTAAGTGCCTTAAGCTTTGAAGCAATATGAGACATTTCCATAATGTACTCCCTGATATTTCCTTTGCCCTTATACTTCATTGAAATCAAGCGAGCTAAAAGCGTGCTTGTTTCTACCTTATCGTTTTTCGCAAAACGCTTCTCAATTTCGGCAAGGAAATCTTTAGCCTTAGTAATCCCTTCGGATTCTATGCCCCTGAAGGCTTCCGGAACGCCGCGCTTAATGATCATAAGACTCATGCGATTTGAACGCTCCCACTTCTCATGCTCCTTCTTTGCATCAGGAGTGCTATCCGCATTGAGAGGTTGGGGTTGTTCAGTTCTTAATGCATAGTCAAGATCCATGCAGCCAAGAACAATTAATATGTTCTCTTTCCAAACCTTGAAGTTTGTCCCATTTAGCATGGGAATTGAGTTGATGTTAGCAGAAATTGTTGCAGCAGATGCATTAGCTGAAATAAAACAAAAGAATGCTCACATCAATAACCATAATCAATAAAATTCAAATAATGACAATCCCCATCCAAGATACCGGCACAACATTAATATCAAGTCTTTGGACAGTAATATTAACTTGTAAGTGATACCTTGTTGCAATGATCAAACATTGACAATAACTCATGTCAAATAATGAAACTATCTTTGGATCGATTCATTATTCACATGTAAACCTTATAATTGTCACACGCTTATCATCGCAGATGTGTATACAGTCTAAATAAATATTAACCTTCCTTTGGGCCGATTAAATATTTACACGAAAGCATACACACAAACATCTCACATTCCTCATGAACAATCTACACAAGAGAGGTTACTTTGGCAACTTCTTGTTTCAATTAATCAATTGGAGTGAGAGACAACCTTAATACCTTAGTGTCATAATATTTGAATTAAATAATTGATTAAAAACCGAATTAGATTTAAATTAAAAAATTTAAATCAACTGAATTTCCAAAAACTTAATTGGGGTCTCACAGCTTAATTAGGGCCCATAACTTAATTGAATAAATTAAGTATACCAAAGTGGACCCATGAAAAGCCGAGGCTTAACCATAATGAACACGAAGTTCCCTTAACTTCGAACGCGAGGTTCGACTGTATTGAGTACGAGACTCACTTAAGCGCGAACGCGAGGTTCGTCTGAAAATGAACGAACGCGAGGTTCGTTTGATAAAAGAACGCGATGTTCAACTTGGGAACGAACGTGAGGTTCGTTTAAAAAATGAACGCGAGGTTCGACTGAAGTACGAACGCGAGGTTCGTCTGAAGTACGAACGCGAGGTTCGTCTGAAGTTCGAACGCTCGTTAAAATTGAGCTTGACGCTCACCTGAGTTGAACGCGAGGTTCACCTTAGAACGAACGCGAGGTTCGTTAAAATTGAGCTTGACGCTCACCTGAGTTGAACGCGAGGTTCACCTTAGAACGAACGCGAGGTTCGTTAAAATTGAGCTTGACGCTCACCTGAGTTGAACGCGAGGTTCACCTTAGAACGAACGCGAGGTTCGTTAAAATTGAGCTTGACGCTCACCTGAGTTGAACGCGAGGTTCACCTTAGAACGAACGCGAGGTTCGTTAAAATTGAGCTTGACGCTCACCTGAGTTGAACGCGAGGTTCACCTTAGAACGAACGCGAGGTTCGTTAAAATTGAGCTTGACGCTCACCTGAGTTGAACGCGAGGTTCACCTTAGAACGAACGCGAGGTTCGTTGAGCGCGAAGCTCGGTTAAAATTGAACGAACGCGAGGTTCGTTTGAGGTAACCACCTCCTTAATTTTCGCCATGAACCCTTAGGGTTCAAATTGATACCGCCGCCGCAAAACCCAAAAAATCTTTGATTTTTATTTTCAAAACAGATCCAGAATTGGAAAAAATTGAAGGAAAAAAATCAAAGAAAAAATCCAAAAAATTCCAAAAAGTTACTGTTCACCGGTGATTTTTCAGTTACTGTTCATCCGAAAAAATACTTTACTGTTCACCCGAAAAAAAAATTCGGTACTGTTCACCGAGCATTACTGTTCATCCGAACCTAAAAAATGAATCTTTAACCAGAGATTTAAGATCAAAAACCCAATAAAACTTAAATTCCTAAGAATTAATCAAGGTGGCTCTGATACCATTTGTTAGATCTACATCATAAAACTTGAGATCTAAAACCATATAACAATGATTAATTTAAAGAGATTAACAAGGATCTAAAAGAGCGGAAGCTTATACCTGAATCCATTGCTTGATCTTGATTTTGGGTTTTGGATCTTCTAACCTTAGGGTTTTCTCCTTAGCCGAATTTCTCTCTTAGATATGGGTGAAGAGAATTAGAGAATGTAACCCTAGGTTAGAGACCATAACCCCTTATTTATAGATGTTGTACTTTTGTAATTTAGCCCCTCAATAAATTACAATTACAACCTGGTATCTGCACATATAGCCCCATGACTTATTTAAATACCAAATTAACCCAACTTAATTGATCACTTTAGTGGGTTATCCTGAAAGATAGCAATACACATTGATTAATCATATGTGCTCACAAATAGATTTATTAGATTAAATCCAACAAGTTTTAGAGATGAAAACGAATAAAAATATTATTTTATTAGTTTCCTTGTACCGATTTCTTTTTCTTGATTTTTAGGAAACCAACCAAACAGCCCCTAGGGGTTAGAAGCATTACAAATTTGATGGAGTGGTTTTTTAGGGTATAGAAAAAAAAATCTTAGGGTGTGACAAATAAAATTTGTTATTTTAGGGGGCTAGAAGTAATTTCTCAAAAAACAAATATAAAATACTATTTACCCTAAACTATTTACACTTCCATGCGAAATAAATCTTTTTGGACAATCGTGTTTCAGTAATTCGAAAGGGGCACCTACCTGCAAGAACAACGAGGCAAGTCCTCCCTGAACGGCACGTGGAGGTTAATCTGGGCCTGGTCTCCCAGTAGGCTCAGATAGTAATGCTTGCTGCCGGTCTGCAACGCCACGTGACGGAGTCGGGACCCACCCCGGCCACACGTCAGCGCGTCGAGCACAGTTCAGCAGCATCGCCGAGTTGGCGCCGCACGTGGCTTCGTCCGTGCTCGAGCTCGGCGACCGTGACCAGAAGAGGTGGGTCACGTGACCGGCCAGCTGGCGGAGGGGCCTCGAAAGGTGGCGGCCCCGTCCAATACGCGTCGACCTGAAAACGAACCGGTCCAGTTTGTGGAGAGGGAACTTGGACGAGGGAGATCGGCGGGCTAGGCCGTAGACGGCCCAAGGGCAACCGGACAGCCTCGCGTTTCTTCAGCGCGTCCACGAGGCTCGAACCGACCATGCCGGTGACTCCGACGACCAGAGCTACGTTTGAGCATGGCGAAGGGTTTGGGTTTGGGTTTGGGAGAGAGAGCTCCATAGTTTTCGAGGGGTGAAGGGGAAAAATTGCATTTGTACCGAATTTATCCTGAAAAAAAAAAGAGTTAAATACACGCAGTTTATTTAACTTTGTGTGGAGATGGCTGAGCTGGCTATGCTCTAACGAATGGGCATACTTATGAGAAATGGAGTGTATGAATATAAACGTGCGAGTGATTTGTTTATTCGCTTCAGAACCACAAAATTGGCGGAGATTTGGGTTGATTTGATGTTATAAAATATTGAGAGAATATATAGACACCGATGACTTTTTGTCCTGTATTAGACAAGTGTATCAAATAAATATTGATAGAGGATACGACTGATATTATTATACTGCCAAGATGTTATAAGCATAATTTCCTAAAAAAAATGCTACGGACACACCACCCCCTGCTACAGTGCAGGGGGCCCCACTTCAGATTTTTTAAAAAATCTGAAGTGGGGCCCCCTGCACTGTAGCAGGAGAGGGGGTGTGTCCGGTGGTGTGGCGGGTGGTGTGCCCGTAGTGTTGCTCATTTCCTAATACCAACCTGAACTTTGTGGGCGTTGCATGTAACCTCATCGATCTTTGTTTATCTATTATAACCCCTTTGGTTTTTGGAGCGTCTCACAAAACTATTTGAATTTTGAACTTTTCCCTGTAATTCGTAAATAACTAAAATTTTCTTGAGAGGAAAAAAACAATTAAAATTCAGAGAAAGTAATATGTTATAAATAATAAATGAAAATATTTAGTTATTTTTCTCTTAAAAATATTTTAGTTATTTGTTAACTATATAGACAAGGGGATCAGGTGAGATAATGTTAAAGTTTGAAAGGATTTTGCAAGACTACTTAAAGTTCAGGGGGTTCAACACCTCCCAAAGTCTTTTTTTCATGGGTTTGGGTGCGTGGGTGGTGTGGCAGTGAAACTAACCATCTATTAAATACTAGACAATTATAATTATTTGGTAAAAAAATCTTTCCATTATTAAATTAGTGAGAAAAACCTTACTCTTAATGCGGCAAATATATATATGAGAAAACGAGAGGTGAGCTGACAGCGTAGGAAATTTCCTACGCTGGCGCCATGTGTCAATACCTTATTCATTGGATACTCATTTATAGAAATAACTGATTTCTAAGTGGTTAAATTTACAAAAAAATGAAGGACCTAGATGAAAAAAGACCAAATCTCTCCTGATTAATAGCTTCCTTTCCTAATTTATTCCACATAATCCCGTTGTCTCCTTCATCCCTTCGTTTCCCAAAAGCTCCGCTGCCCTCGTCTCGAAATTCGCCGGCTCCTCCAAGAAAAACTTGAGCTCCGCCGATCTCTTCGCCGTC